GAATGACTATGTTCATAAGCATTCCGAAAAACAAAGCAATGAAGGATTTAGAATTTTTCTAGATCAAGACCCTGAAATTATAACATGTAAAGAGTTAGGAAAAGATGCAATAATTAGATTAGTCAATTTGGTAATATGTAATACATATTTTTCCTTAACTGGTAAGTTGTAAAAGTAAACACAGGGCCTGGCTATGGAATGTTATTTAGAGAATAACTAGATGGCACAATTTAAAATTCGTGTGTCTCAAGGGGCACTCCTAGTTCCCAAGTTATTAGTTCGTTATATGGACGATTACTTTGCTATTTGATAACATGGCAAAGATAGATTGGGGGGAATTCATTTAGTTAGTAAATAGAATAGATGCAAATACTAAGCTTAGCATCAAGTTAAAAATGGAAAATAAAATGCCTTTTTTAGATCTATTTGTGAACAAAGAAGGTAATAAGTTAGGTAGAGACGTATATAGGAAACCCACACATCCAAAAGAGACTATGCGAACACAAAACCTCTTCTAAAGGTTTATTGGTAAAAAATTCTCAGCGAATTCTGGCCAATGCAGGACAGTCAATAGACTGATTTAAAAAATAACATTTTGCCGGTTACATGGACTTTACATCAAAGCGTAAGATTAGGGAGTCTATAGAAATTAAGAAGATAGCCAACATCTTGAACAGGAGGAACGAATGTAGAAAATAGAGTAAGGACTATTTGTGGCTGTTGGATAGGCCTACGAAGAAGGAGAGAGAGGGAATACAAGAATAACCACTGAGTAATAGGAGGCTGGATTAGCCTCATTTCTAGTCAGGACTATCACACTTCCCATGACATAAACAGTACATAAACACAATAGACGATAGCACAAGCCCAAACGTGAATCGTTATTCGAGGATCGTACACTAATTTATTTGTGTAATGAAACAGCTGCCACTTCCTGTTCGGGAAGTGATTTCACCAATCATAAAGTAAGGTTAAAGTAGCCAATCAAATCATGAGATGCCTTATTAATATCGCGAATTTAGGTGTAGAAAAAAAGCAATTAGGGTTGCAGCCGACCATCTTTTCTTTTGGTTTAGTATAATTTTGTATAATTTCGTAAAGTATGTATTCCATCTGGTGATGCCTGCCGCAGCACAGACGAAAGCTTAGCACACTTTCATCGGCGTCGCAGGCGTTGAGCCAACGACTTTTTCGCACAATTCAACAGTCTTTCCTACGCGGCAATCCTCCTTCGGTTAACGGTGAAACCACATCACGAATTCCTTCCTAATAACTTCCCCTTCAAAATTGATTGTCATGTCACAATATATCAAAACCCCGTTTTTCTTTATATCTTCGAAAATTGTCTCATATTTTAGATTCCCAGGGTGATCTGTATTTTTTTTCAAAAGGGACGTATATAAATTGATATATAGCAACGTGCTAGATTTGAATTTGGGAAGACAGCTTAGGTTTAAATATATGAGACCATTTTGATTTTTGTGTTAGTTACGTGTTTGTTAACGAGGCTAGATCATTAACACTCCTGACATATTTTGCATGGAATTGCTAAGGTTTAATTCATTTTTAAAGTTTCTATGTAATTTTTTTAGATGAGTCACTTAAGTTTATTTGTTTCTTCTTTACCTTGCGAGAAATGACATAGATTGAATTTAAGTGACTTATTTTCGCTAATATTTTTATAAACGTGCTCATACACTAAATTGAGATGAGCATTAAACCTTGATCTCCTTTGTTTATTTGTTTTTTTTTAATGAGTAGGTCCAATCATCGAAATTTGTCATTTAGATCTTTTCTGTTCATAAAACTTTCTTTGTTTCTGTAAACCATAATATTTTCATAATACTTGTTTACTTCATGACATACTTTTCTTTGCTTTTAAGATGTTTTTTATCTACCATTTTATAAACCTTAAATGCCCATGCTCTGTTGACTTTCTCCAGATCAATGCACTTGAACTCGAGCTTGCTGATAGTAAGCTAGCTACAGTTGAGGCGCATTGCCGTTTTCAGACACTGGCACATGACCACCAGTTAATGAAAAATGCGCACTCCCAACTACAGCTAGAGTACGAGCTCGCGCAGCGGCCACGCCCGTGGCTGTCACGCACGTTATCGAGTCTCCGCAGCGCCTCGGGAGGCATGAGCGCCTCAGCATCAGTCTCAACTGTCGGTGTTGTACCCGGTTCTGGGACTGCGCTATTAGCCAGCATTCAGAGTGGCCTTCATATTGGGCAGACAGACATGCCTTTGTAACAAGAAACCAGCGGCACGGTCCTGTTAAGTATCAATGAAACCTTTCAGCAAACACAAGAGTTTCAGTAGTGATTTTAACTATATTAAGCAAAAACGTGTATATGTAGATATTTATGCTCTCCTATTTTGTATTATTTTTTGGTTGCTAGAAGGCGCCACAGTTTTCCCATTCTTCTCTTGTGATCCTATTCTACCATTTTGTATTTGTTTATCTGCGTCTCCAAGCTTTTTTATTTCTCTTTTTGCATTTCTGTCAACTATTACCGTCTCTTTCCATCACACCTCCCTTAATGTATTTTTTGAGATATTATTTAATAAACAAACTTTAGCCAGAACTTTATCCGAGAATATTGCTCTAGCGCACAACTACACTCATTTGCACACGCGTATTCATGTTTTGGTGCCACCTTTGATTTTGCCTCTTCGAAAGTTGAATAGTTTGTGTTATTCTTGGCATTTAGGCCTCGTCTTCGAACACGAACCAATTTTTATGGACCAGAGAGCATCATTATGAAAAAACTAAATAATCAATATTTTCACACGAGTAACGGCTTTTCGTTTTTATTTTCTTTTTTTAATTAATTAATCTTATCTTATAAGTCAAGAATATTGCCTAGGATTCCTGCCTTATATAATAAGTCAATCTTTATTAAACTTTCATTTTTTACGAAGGGATTCGTAAGTAAATCTTACTAGAATCCGACTGGATTCACCTATTACTGCTGTTATTTCGCTTTACTACGACCCTTATTCTAGTGTACTTCCTGAGCTATCCTTCTTAGTTTTAGGTGAAATTGTGCTGCGTTATATTCTTAAATAACAGATCCCTAAGCATAGCCTGTACCTCTTATTAATTGTAATTAATCAAGTTATCACT